CCCCCCCCCCATGGAGAATGACAGACCTGCAGGCTGCATACAAGTGATCTCAGTGACGTCGCCGAGATCACTTGTACACAACAAGGCTTCCCCGCTGTACATTTAGCTCTGCTTGCCCAAAGCTGGGCTAAATGTGGAAAACAACGACCCGCCCGGCACCTGGAAATGCATGTCCCAGGCATTGGGAGATAGGGATTCCACACCCCTGCTGCCCCAAGGCCGGGCCTTGGTTGGTCTTGTGGGAAAATTGTCTTTTCCCGATTTGGATGACGGCTGACGCTCACCATACACCTTACAATCCGAAACTCCGTCATATGAGGGCCTCCGTTATTCCACCAATCAGAGAGCTCCTCCCACTACATAGTCATTGGAAGATCTAAAGGAGATTGTAATTTGTGTGCTGAGCATAAGGGGCTCAATGAAAGTGCACCTGTCATGAGACAAATATGGAAGCCGAAGATGTCATGTGACCCCATTGTCCAAACCCAACAACCAATTAGAGTGTAACTCCCAGAGACACATCCCTACAAAACACAATTATAAGCCAACGTGACCCTCCGGCTGTAAGAGGTCAGCTGACCATTTTTTCCATCACTTATATTTAAGGTGGAACACCAATTGAAAAATGGGTGTGAACCTTTGCTGCATCTGACTCCGCCTACTTCCTGTTCATTTCCACTATTTAGCCAGAAGAAGGACATTAAGTCCTAAAGAGCCCCTGTCATCGGGCCATTCATTCCAACAATGATATGAGCATCTAATGTATTTCATTCATGTTATTCCACCGTAGAATCCTCCCGTGTGTAGACGCGTGAAAGCCCCGAGACCGCTGCTGGGTGCCGCCATCTTGGATGTGATCTCAGTAGCCTCAGCAGACTCTATATACTGTATATAGAGGGAGGGGGCTGGGCATTGTAATTGGGTGACAGGGTCTCTTTAAGGATGGTTTTTGATTTGGGAAGTTTTGCTATCAAAGCTCCAGAAATTGTAGACACAGATATTGAAATAAACGTTTTTGATAATTGTAGAGGATTTCTCCTTCCTAGGTGTCAGCATTGTTCTCCGTCGGGGTCGGTGTACGTAGAAGTGACGTTGAGGAAATCTGAATTCTATAGACGTAGATATTGATTTTATTCTTCTGGGGTAAACACGACGTCATGGACGGGGCGAGAGATGTTTGTGAACAGAGCCGGCTGCTGCGTCAGCTAATTGTTATCATATTGTAGCAACTACGCCGATGAAAGATGTTCAATGAGATCAACCTCCAAATGGAGCAAAGCCTCCCTTCCGTATCCAGAACCCACAAAGCCTAGAGAACCGTCATGTCTTCCAGAGCTTAGGACATCCCCAGACCCCGCACAACCCAGGGCATCCCCAGTTCCCCCAGAGCTCAGGGCATCCCCAGATCCTTCACACCCCAGAACATCCCCAGTTCCCCCAGAACCCAGGACATTACCAGATGCTTTACAATTCAGAAATGGAGAAGGATTTGGGGGTCATTGTAGACCACAAACTGAAAGGTAGTTTGCAGTGCCAGGCTGCTGTAAACAAAGCTAGCAGGGTCTTGTCCTGTATTAAAAAGGGGATGTATTGCAGGGACAAGTCTATAATTTTGCCACTTTATAGATCATTGGTTCGACCTCATCTGGAGTACGCGGTCCAGTTCTGGTCACCAGTACTAAGAAAAGATGTCCTTGAGTTGGAAAAAGTCCAGCGAAGGGCAACCAAACTAATTAGGGGTATGGAGGACCAGAGCTACGAGACGAGGCTACTAAATTTAAACATGTTCACATTAGAGGTGAGGAGATTAAGGGGGGATATGATTTCCATGTACAAAATGTTTAATGGTGGTAGCAACATTAGCGATAAACTGTTTAAAATTAACTCCGTTACAAAAACTAGAGGCCATAACCTAAAATTGGTGGAAAAAAAATTCCAGCACAAGGTGCGAAGGGGGTTCTTCACAGTAAGATCAGTTAGGGTCTGGAACTCACTGCCACAGGCGGTGATTTCAGCAAATAATGTGGAATTGTTCAAGAAACTTTTGGACGATTTCTTAAGGGACCGTAATATACAGGGGTACGGGTACTCCTAGAATGAGATCCTAATAGGTTGGACTTGATGGACTAATGTCTTTATTCAACCTCAAATACTATGTAACTATGTAACCCATGGCATCCCCAGATCCTGCAGAGCTCAGGACATCTCTAGATCCCCCAAAGCTCAGGGCATATCCAGATTCTTCACAACCCAAGTCATCTCTATATCCCCCAGAACCTAGAACATTCCTAGATCTCCCAGAACCCAGGACATCCCCAGATCCCCCACAACCCAGGACATCCACAGATTCACCATAGCTCAGGACATCTCCAGATCCACTATAATTCAGGACATCCTCAGATACTCTACAACCCAGGGCATCCCCAAATATCATTAAGCCCGGGGTATTCCCAGTTCTCACAATAGCCAGGTCATTCCAAGAACTGACAGAGCCTATTCCATCCCAAGATCCCATTAAGCCCAGAACATTCCAAGATTTCAGAGGGCATCCCTAGATTCCCTGGAGCCCAGGACATCCTGATTACTCCAGATCCCCTAAAGTTCAGGGCATCCCCAAATACCCCAGATCTAAGGCATCCCCATATCCCCTAAAGCCTAGGTCATCGCCATTTCCTCCAGAGCCCAGGACATCCCCAGATCTTTCAAAGCAATTCCCAGAGTTGGCAGAACTTAAGCCATCCCCAGATCCCATTAAGCCCAGGGCAATTCCAGATTCCTGGAGGACATCCCAAGATTTCCCAGAGCTGAGGGCATACCAAGATCCCACGAGGAATCCTTAGATACCCCAGGTTGCTGGGCATCACTAGGTCATCCACAGCCCAGGGCATCATCAAAACCCACAGAACCCAGAGCATCCCCAGATCCCCAAGAGCCAGGCCTCCCTGTATTCCCCCACAACCCAGAACATCCTAGGACAACCCCAGAGCCCAAGATAACCCCTGATCACCTGGAGCCCAGACCTTCCCAAGGCCACTGTGCAGTCACAATGCAGCAAACACAATCAGTAAGTGTGTCTCCAAATGCTGACCGACTGAGAAATGCGGACTGAGCTCCCTTCTATAGCACCAGAAATATCTCCACTCATAATAAGAACAACACAAAGCTGAAGACTTCCATCATCAGATTGCCCCACAGCCGGGCCCCTCTGTGTCTCATCCCCGGGGACCCCCAAGCCTTCCCACAGGAATACTCACACACTGCCTGCGTTCTCTGCGTCTCTGTCAGTCCTCTCTGCCGCGCTCTCGCAGGTCTTGTTTTCTTCATTGTTATCAGATCAATATTGTAATCATTAAACTTTCTGGTTAAACTTCAAGCAAAGTTTCCTGAGAGAAAAACAGCCGGGGACAGAAAACAAGTCACAGGGCGTCCTCCGCCACGGCGCATGGCGTCACTCCCGGCACACCGGCTCTCTCTCTCTCTCCCTCTCATTCTCTCTCTCTCCCTCTCTCTCATTCTCTCTCTCTCCCTCTCTCTCTCATCCTCTCTCTCTCATTCTCTCTCTCCCTCTCTCTCATCCTCTCTCTCTCTCCCTCTCTCTCTCATCCTCTCCCTCTCATCATCCCTCTCTCTCTCATCCTCTCTCTCTCATTCTCTCTCTCATCCTCTCTCTCTCATCCTCTCCCTCTCTCTCCCTCTCTCTCTCATTCTCTCTCTCTCTCCCTCTCTCTCTCATTCTCTCTCTCTCTCCCTCTCTCTCATCCTCCCTCTCTCTCATCCTCCCTCTCTCTCTCCCTCTCTCTCATCCTCTCTCTCTCTCATCCTCTCTCTCTCCCTCTCTCTCATCCTCTCTCTCTCTCCGTCTCTCTCTCATCCTCCCTCTCTCTCATCCTCTCTCTCTCTCCGTCTCTCTCCCTCTCTCTCATCCTCCCTCTCTCTCTTTCTCATTCTCTCTCTCTCTCTCTCCCTCTCTCTATCACTCTCTCTCTCATCCTCCCTCTCTCCCCCACTCTCTCGCTATCGCTCGCGCTCTCTCCCCCTCTCTCTCTTCTCACTCTCTCTCCCTCTCTCCCCACTCTCTCGCTCTCTCAAATCCTGCCCCTTCACTCCTCATATCACCTAGATAGACAGATAGATAGATAGATAGATAGATAGATAGATAGATAGATAGATAGATAGATACCAGGGCTGCTATAGGGGAGTGAGACCAGTGATTTCCCCTGAAAAGGTTCGGCTCGGAAGTGAC